ATTGTAATTCTGATGGATATTGACAATTGCCCTCATAGCACCTGTACCAGTTTACACTCTCATCAGCAATGCATGAAAGTGTTTGCTTCTACACACCCTTATCAACATAGTGAGATATCGAACCACCCAGTGTGGTTATGATTTATTTCTTTTATTACGAGTTAGGATGAACATTTTTCATTTGTTAAAAGCCACTTCTCGTAGCATCTTAACAGCTTAAAGTACGCAGAAAAAAAGTGAAAAGAGATATTGCTTTTGATTTTTAAGGTTAAAGGTATATGCTAAATGATGTAAGAACTACTGGTAAAACAACTTGTAATTGAATTCAGAGAGGCAGGAAATAAGGAAAGCAGAAAGAAATACATAAGTTTATTTCCAGAAGTATAAAGTGTGAAAGATACAGTCCTGTTTTAAAGAGAATACGATTACAAACACAGCTTTTTAAGTTTCCTAAATTTATTCAGAGAAATTTAGAATACTATCAAGAAGCAAAAGCCAATTTTTTTCATAATATAGAGCTTTTAATATGTCAGCCAAATATAGACCAATTCTACAAATACTCCTAAAAGAGACCAGAGAAACTAGGACAAGTTTTGCAAATTTAGATTATAGGTGGGAAAATGTTTTTTTAATGGGTATTTATTTTAATATATATTCGGAAAAATTGATACATCAAGCTAATGATATCACAGATATTATTTAGAATAAAACAAAATTTTAAATGTCAATTTAAAGAAAAAATAATAACCAAATAATATTGGAATGTATTCTCTAACATGGCAAAAATTGTGACTATGGCACCTGTGGCCAAGGTCTTAAAAACAATTAACAGAGAAGAGCAAATGAAAGCTCAAGAATAACTCAATTTATAATTGATGGCCTCTAAAGCAAAGGAGAAGAAAAAAAGAAACTTCCTTAAAATGATTTATATTTTAAATTTTTAAAATGAGTTTTCTATGTTACCAGAATATGGTTATAGACATTCTGATCATGCTACAGATTTAAATTTATTGTGTACTTTACCTACAAAAAGCACCAAAAAGCAAATTTTTCTAAAGCACCTGAATATCAGGTCAGAGTTCTTTAGAACAGGTCTCATAGGACTTCCCTGTCACTAAACATGCTGCAAAGAGATAATTAGCCTGGGCTTTAAGATTCAAGTACAGAGGAACCAACAGCAGGCTATGTGGTTGTAGACTCAAGAGGCTTAAAAAGAAACTGGCTGAATTTATATTCCAACTAAATACAGAGACCATATAATCCAATTTCTCCTCAGCCCTTACAACTGGGACATGCTCCTGAGTTGTCAGATTATAAACCTTAGGTTGTATGTTGATTGAATTATGACAGGACTAACTGGCTATCTCAACACCATAAACACACAACTGCTGTAAGAAAAAAAATAACCCACAGGCAAACAAATTTATACCATTTTGACATAAAACTACAATAGAAAACCAAAATCATAAAGGCTCTTTGTCATAGACTTCTACCCTTTTGTTCTTTCCATTATGGTAGCCAGAAATTTTTAAATTTCAATTTAAAATGAAATAGCCACAGAAAGGTAACATTTCCATCACTGCAGAAAGATTTATTGCTCTGCTCTAAGTCCTCTATAAGAATCATGAACAAGTTCACCTGATCTGTTTCCAGTCTTTATATGTCTAAATGCACTGATAGATCTCAGGGTGATTTACACCAAACCAAGTTCTACTGCTGACTTCAGAGTCATAACAGATTTTGCCCTTTATTTTCTCCAAAGCTCGGGGGAGGGGGGGGAGCTACTTTAAGTGATGCAACACGTATGCCTCAGAGAGTTTCACTACACAAAAGAGTGATCTTTCCTCTTGGGGAATGAAGGACCCAGGTGTCCCTATTAAAAATAATTATAGTTCATAAAATAAGCACACTATGACCATCACAGAGCTTAAGTCAGAAGAACATAAATACCTTTGTTATCATCAAAACCTCAGCTAACAAAAATGAAGATACTCTGCAGCGAATACTTTAAAAAATAAAAAATCATGGTTATTCTAGATAATTACAAATTCCTGCTTTGAAGAAATAAGATACTTTAAAAAATCAAAACCTTTAATTCAATAACTACTGAATGTCCAACCTTATGTCTTATTCTGTTTTCCTCTAAGAGAGGATGACAGAAACCTTCTTCAATTCCATTCTTTTTTCGGCCTCTATTGCTTACTCATCGGATCATTTTCCCAAAAAAAAGGTGGCAGAAAGATCCAATCAAACAAACTCCTAATTTGAAGCAGTTTTTTAAGGTTACCTCAAGCCTTACCAGGGGTAGCCAAACCAAATGTATAATCTTCACATTGCTTTGCAAACCCAGCTTAGCTCTAACTCGAGGTTTCTCAACAGCAACACTACTGATATTTGGGGCTAGAAAACTCTGCATGGTCAGGGCTCTCCTGTGCATTGCAGGATGCTTATCAGCATCCCAGGCCTCTACTCATTACATGTCAGTAATAACCCTACCTTCCTCCCCTTCCAGAATTGTGACAACTAAAAAGCCCCCTGGAGGCAGGGGGAATCACTCCTGGTTGAGAACCACTGTTTTAACCCAAGAACATTCTTAATTATCTCAGCCCTAATTCAATCACGTGATGCTCCTCCAAATTTCCACATTGAGACACTGTCTCATAATCCAGCAAATATTTATGGAACCTCTAGGACACAACATCAAGGGCTCCAGGAGATAACAAAATAGATTCTATCCATCAAGCAGATTTCTCAGGGAGTAAGCACAAGAGCTGTAATAAAAGACACCGAATTATATGTTTTGAATTGGTTTTGTTCCTGAGGTATTCTCATCTTATCAAACTAAAAACACTTTGAGGGCAGACCATAACCTGCCCTGGAGTACTAACACTTGATTAATGGCCAATAAAATTAAAAATAAGGTACTGTAAATTTCATACAAACAGTAAAAACTCCACAGCTGACTTGGGCAAATAAGCTAACCTCTCTCAGCTGCAAAATGGGGAGAAAATGATTGCTGACAGGATTAAGTCAAATAATACAAATCTTTTTCCACATCCTGGCACAGAGTAAGCATTCAGTTTTTATAACTATCATTACTATTATTTTATTAACTATTTTATTAGCAACAAATCACACCTCAAGGGGAAGAACCTGCTCTGGGCTACAATAACAAATTCCTACATGAAATAAAAAGCAATCAACTCACCCTGCTTTTTGAGAGCAAGAGGGAGGAAGTAACCATAAGTGTTTCTATCAGTGTCCTGGGAGGAAAAACTAAATGCAGGAACCAATGAGAAGTGGGTCAGGGAGATTCAGAGACAAACGCATTGCCCTCCAATATACTCCCGAACTATTATTAAGACCTTTCTATTTTAAATGTTTGAGTGTCTTTGCCATAGCCCACAATGATCTAAAGGGAACATTTTTTTAAAATCCTTTTTTAATAAATACTGACACATGTAAGGGAGAGATGTTTGAGACTTTCTGAGAGTTCATTTGCTTAATCTTTTAGAAATTATGCTTAAAATTTCCACTGCTATAATGTTAAATACATGCCACCAATTTTGAATTTACTACAAAGCACAGAATTACTGAGAAGGCAAAAAACCAAAAACCATTACATGTTTAAAAGTAAGAGAAAATTAACTCTTAACCAGGAAAAAGGCGGGTAACTCAAACGTGTATGTGTCTGACAGAAGCGGTGTTTGGAGATGAGAGATATTTGGGATAGAAAAGACAGGACAAATCACCATGATGGAACATACACAGCCAGGAACACTTCTGACAGCACATGGAGTTTAGGTGAGCAAAAACAGACCTTATTCTTATCATTATGGACCACAGCAGTACAGTGTGTACCACGGGCTAGGCACCAAATTACTCCCTCGCACATAGCAACTCACGTAATCCAGTAATTGTAGGTACTACAGGACCCGCAATTTACAGAGGAGGAAACTGAGACATAGAGACGTTAAGTGACTTGCCCAAGGTCACTTAATTAGTAAACTGAAATTTCAGGCTCCAACCTAGGCACCATGGCACCACCTCTACCGCTATACTTAATGGTGCCTATTTTAATCTCGGACCTGGAAAATTAATTTCTATTTGCTATGTAGTGAGACTAGTTCATTCTCCCTACCCTTTTGTATTTCAAAAGAGCATCCTTTTAGTTGCGTCGTGTGTGATCATAGGAGGTCTGAAAGGTAACAGTATGATCCATGGACCCTTTCGCCTTTGGATACTTAAGTAATGCACACGGAGAAACTTGTGTGGGGTACAAATGGAGACATGTCTCCTGAACAAGAAGAGGAGGGTCCTGGAGAATGAGGGAGTTCGCCGAAGTTCCTATATCAGCCCCTATTTCCTGCCTTTGCTCTGGTCACTACGTTCATTCAAAAGACCGCCAAGCCTACCTATGCCAACTTTTTCTGAGGTGGAAAGGGCAGAGGCGAGGCGGGGGCCTACGTGCTGGGAGGCGAAAGCCAAGTGGGGAGCTGGACAGAGGAGGGCGAGCCTGCCTACCAGGATAGGGGTAGAGAGGCGCGTGGAAAGGCTGAGGCCAGTGACAAAGGTGAGGATCCGGGTGGGAAGCCAGAGATGGGGACAGCGAGGCCAACTGGGTTGGGGTCGGCAGCGAAGGAGTGATCTGCGGGCGTGCTGAAGAGGCGCCAGGGGCAGAGCAGCCCGGTCACTACCATCTGGGCTGATCTGAGAAAGGAAACGCGGCAGGAACCAAGGCATTTCGAAACAGGAGTAGAAAATAACCTCCAGAGTAGACCAGGGCCTAGGGTAGGGATAAGTGGGTGGCGTCGGCGGGGGTCGCGGCCCGGGGGAGGGGGCCAGAGCAAGAGCGAAGACAGGGGCTCTGCGCGCGAAGGAGCTGCCCAGGCGGGGCCGCTCCGCCGGAGAGCGCGGAGCAGAGCGCCGCCGAGCCTGGCGCCAAGCTGCGGGGTCCTGAGGCCGGGCGGCGGGTGCGCCGGCGCCCCGGCCTTGCGTACCTGAAGCGGCCGCCTGGCTCCCTTCCACTCCCGGGCCGTCCCCGACGCCGCCCGCCTTCTGTCGGCGGACTTCGGGGTTCCAGCAGCCCGGCCCCTCAGCCGCCCGCGGGTCCGACATCTGCAGCCGCGCCGACAGCGCCTCCGCCGCCCGTCGCGAGTGGCTCCGGAAACAGCCGAAAGCAGAGCGCCAGTGGCCGCGAGGCGCCGGGAAGAGCCGAACGGAGCCCGTGGGCCGGAAGGGACAGCGCACCGCCCCCCGACGGGTCGCAGGAGCTCTGGCCCGCGGGGGCTGAAGATATGGACGCCTGAAGGATTACTGCCCGCTTTTGGTCGCAGGTGCTTAAAAGTATGGGATAGGAAGAACAAATAAAACCTGGAGAAGACCCGGCCGGAAGTCGTGGTATCCATAGAGACGCTATCGGAAGTTGGGGTTGCTGGGAAGCTTGGGCGCGTGAACTAATCTGCGTCATGGCTGAAGTCCCAGAAGATTACGATTCCGGCACGGATGAAGCTGAAAACCTGAGTTCTGAGAGACCACAACTGCCTGGACCTCTTGAAATATTTGAAGGTGCCAAATCAGACACAATGTCAGAGGCAGGCCTGGAGCTGCTTGTAAAGACTGATCAAAAGCTACAACCAGAGACGAAGGAAGAGGACTTCGAAGAGGGGGCGCTAGAGAGGGCTAAGTATGTACATCCACCCCTAACACCAAGTATGGAGTCCCAAGAAGAGGTTCCCAAGGAGTCAGAGATAGACCTTTCTAGCGAGACTGAGCCAGGGATTCCCCAAGAGGTAAAGTCAGAGACATCCAGAGAGATGGGAGGAGAGCTTTTCAAAGACTTGGATGAAAACCCGGAGGAGCCAGACTTAGAGCCACCAGAAGAGACTGAACCAGATGTTACAGAGGATGTACTCATAGAGTCAGCTAAGGAAACATATCCAGAGCTACCAAAAGAAACCGAGTCTGAGGTTGCAAGAGCCACAGTCAGTGAGACAAGATTAGAGTTACTAGAGGAGAACCAGCCGGAGAGCCTAGAGGAATCACTTGGAGAGCAAAAGGAAGAGACAAGTCGAACCTCCAGAGGAGACCAAACCTGAATTTCCAATTGAGAAACCAGAAAAGTCAATTGAAGAGGCAGATGTACGGCCACCAAAGATGACAACATCAGAGTTTCCAGAGGGAACTCAAAGAAAGTCACCTGAGGAGAAAAGGACAGAGCCATCTGAGCAGACCATACTGGAGTTTACAGAGGTGAAACCAAGAAAGTCTACCGAGGCAGATCTGGAGCCTCCAGAAGAGACTAAACCAGAGGGTCCAGAGGAGGCAGGTCTAGAACTTTCAGAAGAGACTAAACCAGAGGGTCCAGAGGAGGCAGGTCTCAGGCCTCCAGAAGAGACTAAACCAGAGGTTCCAGAGGAGGCAGGTCTCGAGCCTCCAGAAGAGACTAAACCAGAGGTTCCAGAGGAGGCAAGTCTTGAGCCTCCAGAAGAGACTAAACCAGAGGTTCCAGAGGAGGCAGGTCTTGAGCCTCCAGAAGAGACTAAACCAGAGGTTCCAGAGGAGGCAGGTCTCGGACCTTCAGAAGAGACTAAACCAGAGATTCCAGAGGAGGCAGGTCTAGAGCCTCCAGAAGAGACTAAACCAGAGGTTTCAGAGGAGACAGGAAGAAACTTAACTGAGGAAGAAGGGATGGAGCCATCTGAGCAGACTATACCAACCTTTCCAGACCAGAAACTAAGTAAGTCTACTGATGAGACACGAAGAAAGTCAACTGAAGAGAAAGTCCCAGAGCCATTAGAAGAGATCAAATCAGTGTTTCCTGAGGAAAAATCAAGAAAACCATTTGACGAAACAGGTCTAGAGCCATCAGGAAAGACCAAACCAGAAATTCAAGAGGAGACACGAAGAAAGTCAACTGTGGAGAAAGTTCTAGAGCCACCAGAGGACACTAAACCAGCAGTTCAAAAAGATAAGCAGAGAAGATCAGTTGAGACAGGACTGTCGCCACCACAGAAGTCCAAATCAGAGGGCATACGAAGAGAGTCAACTGAAGAAAAAGGTCTAGAGCTTCCAGAACAGACTACACCAGAGTTTCCAAAGAAAGAACCAAAGACACGAAATGAATCAACTGAGGAAATACATCAAGTGCCACAACAGAAGACCAAACCAGAGGTTCAAAAGAAGACACACATAGAGCCTACTAAGGAGAAAGAGCTAAAGTTACCAGATAAAGCCAAACTACTACTTAAAAGAGAGACACATAAAGAATTTGCCAAGGAAGATAGGCCAGAACCAAGCAGATTTAAGCATTTTGTAGACAAGAACAAGCTAGAACTTTCCAACTATCAATCAAGAAAGTTGATAGAAGAAACTAAAAAGTTTTCAAAAGATTCTATTTTTGGGTCTCTCACAGTAAGTGAAATAGACTCAATAAGTACAGATTATGAGTTTTCAGAATCCGTAAAACTGTATGAGTTTCCTGATACCAGTAATGACATATATCCCTCAGAGTCTCAGAGGGATTTGAGAGACTCTTTTAGTGAAAAGGAAGTTGTAGATTTGTCCCTAGAACAGAAGAAACTGGTACATAAAGATAAAGAAGCCCAGCCAACAGAAAGGATGGAGCTACAATTTGAGTATCTTAAATGGAGCCCAGAGAAAGTTGCAGAGTGGATTAGCAAGCTAGGCTTCCCTCAATACAAGGTATACAAAGATAACATTTTTTGAAATCATACTCTCATCCTTCTACCTCTTATTCCTCTACCCTTACCTTAGCTCTTGCCTCTTCCTTACTAGAAGGAGTATAGAAAAGTCCTGGACTATGGTACAGGTAACTTGGATTTTAATTTTGGTTTTTCCACTGACGTATATTTGTATTTTGGGAGAGGAAGGGAGAGTCACATTTGTTTTTTCCTATTCATTGCAGTCATAATACTTCTCTGAAATCTTTGAATAAAGGCTAAGAAATTTATATAGGCCTCTTCATAGAAAACATTTTTAAAAATAGATTTCATCCAAGGAAAACCTTTTGGTACTTTGTCAAACTGTTAACTCCCTTAACTTTAACTTGTAATATCAATCTTAGGTGTCCTAAATATGTCATATGTATCATCAGTACCTAACAGCACTAATTTGAATATCCTATTAACCAAAACTAATTTTATTAAAAAGATAGAGTGAATCTTCTTACTTCATCGATGCCAACTATGTCCTTAGGCTACCACAAAACAACACAAGATCTGAAATCTTTGCAACCCCATACTTAAAAACGTAATTGAGGCCTGAAAGAAGCACATGATTGTATCATGGCAAAAAAATTTAAGGAGTAGTATAAAATTTTAGCAGGATCTTAGAGGAAAATATATGAGATTATTGGGATTATGGCTTAAATTTAAATTTAACTTAAATTTAAATTTTTGCTCCGTGTAGAACTGGAGACAAACGTGATTTATTCCCTCCTTCCGTCCCTCCCTCCTTCTTCGCTCCCTTCTTTCCTTCTCTCTCCTGCTTCTCACCTTCTTCTTTCCTCCCTTCCTCTTTCCTTCCTCCCTTTCTTCCTTCCTTCCATTTGCCATACATCTTTTGAGTGGTGTTCTCATTGTACTGACAGGAGTGTTTTACCGCAAACTTCATCAGTGGCCCAAAACTCATCCATGTAAACTGCTCAAACCTCCCTCAGATGGGGATAACAGATTTTGAGGACATGAAGGTGAGTTGTATATAAAGTTTCCCCATAGAGCATTGTATCAGTGCTACCATCTGTCTTCAAATCAACCTCCTTTTCTTCCTCCAAACCCCCAGCCTCCTATTTCCGTCAGTGGTGTAATACTCACAGTCCCCCAGGCTCACAGTGGTTCCTTCCTCTCTCTCTCTCCTTTGATCCTCACAAAGATTCCAAGAACTGTTGTTTCCTCCTAGAGCATCTGGTTTTCTCCATTCCCACTTGTTCAGACCTTTATCATTTTGTACCTAGAACATGCCAGTAGCCTGTGTAGAAAGGTAGGCCTTTTGGATTCAAGGGCACTGCTTTTAAACCCTCACCTTCCAACCCTTTATATACTACTCAGAAACCTTTGGATCCCCTCTGCTTACAAGATAGTCTCAGCTCCTTAGCTTAGGATTCAAGGCCCTCCACAAGTTTTCTCCATCCACCATTCTCTCCTCCCACTCTTCTACATGAATCTTCTTCTCTAGCCTCACAGGTCTAACCCACACTGTTCCAAACCTGTCTTTTGCGGCTTTGTCCAGTTCCATCTCCTCCTGTATAACTGATATGAATCTTAATCATCCTTAGGACCCAGCTCAATTCTCATCACCCCATGAAGTTTTTCCTGACTTTCTCAGGCCACAATAAACCCCTCCTCCCATGCTCTCATACATTTTATGTCTCTAACACCCATTTGGCACTTATATAATACCATCTGTGTTTTGCCTGCTTTGCTCGATAACTTGAAAACACATTACATTAACCTCTCTGGACCTCTTGTTTCACATACCTAATCTCATTTATATAGTTTTCTTTAATACCTCCCACCCCAACACACCAATGGTTTCATTCAGGATACTCTTGCCCATAAATGGTTCTGCCTCAGTGGTTCTCAAAACTTGATAGTCTTCAGAATCAAGCGAAATTTTTTTAAAACGATTCCTAGTCTCCATACTCCAGAGATTTTGATTCATTACTGCTAAGGTAAACCCTGGAATTTTTTCCCGAGGTGACTCTTGATCAGGCATTATAACCACATAATTCTATAAGTCATATGATTTAGAAAATAAGAAAATATACTCATTAATACCTAAGCCCCTTTCCTGGCAAGAAGATATAAAGAAATCCTGTAAATTATTAAACGCTTAGTTCAAAGCGAACATTTAAACTCTTGAATTCTACTAATAGCTATCCTCTCTGAGTGCTTACTATGTGCTGGGCACCATCCATATATTATTTCACTTAATCCTCTTTTTACAGAAGAGAAAACTGAGGCCTATAAAGGTGAAGCAACTTATACAAGATTATCCAGATAATAACATTAAGAGTCGGGAATCAAATCCATTTTGTGTGACTTTCCAATACGTGCTCTATTTAAACTACTATCCTACATTGCCTCTCTAAATAAGCAATTTTGTAACCCTGAACCTCCATATACATAATGTAGAAAAGGACTACTTATTACAAATCGCTATTTTGAACCATGCCTTCACGTAGCTACCAAGTGCTACCAAATACACATCTTATTCTTTTATGTTCAAAGATGATACAACTGTGTTTATGAGTTCTAATTTTTATTTATGTTTATAGTGTACTGAATTTTCTAAATAAAAATAAGGAACAGAATTAGCAAAAGAGTAACTCGTAATCAAAATTCTTGAAACATTTAAGTATTCCTAATGTTACAGCTTTTTATCATTGGAAAGCATTTTTAAGAGTCTGTCAATTCATTTTGCTTCCTTGACATTCTAATTCCAAAAGTACACTACCAGCATGCAATAATAAAAATTGTATTTATGCTTTTTCTGGTCTTGCAAGAAACAAACCTTTAAAATCTTCTGAAATCCTCAAGACTAAATGATGAACCCAGTGGTCTATACTTACATCCCAAGAAGTTTGAATAAGCAAACTTCAGAATACTTATTATCAAAGTCACCAGACAAATGTGGCTTCTCTCTGAGGTCACTAGAGTAATGTAAAGATCAAGACATTCAAAGATACGTTAAATAAGCTTTGCTTGACACCTAAGTCTACATATAAAAAAGCCGATTATACACTATGACACAGGTTACTTTTTAGAGATCATATATGAACTTAAGTATGCCATAGTTACCTTCCTTACTGATATATTGTGCATTTTTAATCCCTCTATTGAAATTATAGCACCTACTACATCCACAATTTATCCCATAACAATACCTAAGCAATGTAGTTATCTTTTTTCATTGCTCTCTCTCCCATACCATCACTTGTGGGCTTTGGGAGAGGGGGAGAAGTGGGGAAAGAACAGAATTCTGGATATGCTGCTAAGAAACTGAACCACATTTGAACTGTGCACCCCATTTACAAGCCTTGCAGTTAATTTATTGTCAGTTTCTAGTCTCTTCAACTTCCTTAATTTAGCTATTACTCATGCTTCATCTGCAGAAATAACACACCTTTCCCTTTGCCCTTCATACAACATAGTGAGATGATAGTGAAGAGCTGAATATATAGATGAGACTGGTGAGGCGTGCATGAGGAAAGAAACACTAATTCTTTTCATCTGGCCAGGGGAGCTCTTGAAACCAATATCCTGTCCTTCTCACTTGTACTGATGCATTGCCTTGGAAAAAGGGGTGAGAAAGTCAATCTTATTTATTCTAGGGACAAGCTAGACAGGATAGCCTTACACTTGCTTCACTTTTCTCTCTTAGAATATAATTCTCAAAATATTTTTAACTATTCTCTCCAAGTGAACAAAAGAACTCTGTGATAAATATTTGGAGAACATAGATGAATTGTTTATTTCTTTTGTATGCATGATTGCATATTACAAAGTATTGCCTTATAAGCTTTATACTATCTCAGCAATTTGACTACCCTTGCTTTGTTGCAAACTATTTAAATAGCACAAATTCATAACATCAGCAATTATCACTAGACGAAATTTTTTTTTAACTTTTAATTTTCAAATATTTTTAGTTTTACATAAGAGGTGCAAGGTAGTACAGAGAGTTCCTGTGTACTCTTCACCCAGCTTTCTCTAATGTTAACATCTTATGTAACCATGGCCCATATGTCAAAACTAAGAGATCAACATCAGTACAGCACTATTAAACAAACCACAGACTTTATTCCAGGATCTGCAGTTTTTCCACTGATGTCCTTTTTTTGTTCCAGGATCTGATCAGGGGTACCAGCTTGCATTGGGCTGTCATGTTTCCTTGGTCTCCTCCAATATGTGACAACTTCTTGATCTTTCTTTGTCTTTCATACCCTTGACACTTTGAAGATATTTTGTAGATTACCCTCAATTTTAGTTTTGTCTTGTGTTTCCCAAGATGTTATGCTTTCAGGGTTAGACTATCACAGAGGTGATGAGCCCTTCTTATCTCATGCCATCAACAGAAATTATTACTGGAGGTATTAACCTTGATTACTTGGTTAAGGTGGAAGAAACTCTGCCAGGTTTCTTCACTATAAAATTACTTTGCTTCCCTTTTCATAGTCTTTTCATTAGAATTGAGTTACTAAGTCCAGCTCACACTCAAAGAGAAGGGAATTAAGCTCCACCTCCTGGAGGAAGGACTATCAAAGATTTTATGGACATAGAGTAAAACTATCACAGTAATAAATATACTGGAGGAGATACTTTGAGGATATAAAGATATCCTGTTTCTCCTTAAAGTTTTGCCCACTAATTTTGGCATTCATCAGTGGATCTTGCCTGCAGCAGTTATTACTACGTTGTTCTAATGATGATTTTCTATTTCTCCCATTCTTTCCATGTTTAATTGCAGTTCTTCTTAAGGAATTCTTTATGCTTAATTGTCCTTTTGCCTCCATTCAGGAGCTCTTTTACATTGGTTCCTGTGTCCTTTTGTCATGGTCCCCTTATTTCCTTTAGTTCTCTTTGGCACTATGAGTTCGTACTGATATCTCTGACTCTAGTCCAGCAACACAGGGTTCATTCTAGACTTCCTACCCTTCTAATTCCCTACTCTGCCATTGCTTCTTTATAACTTCGTTCTCTGACAGTGAGAAATCTGGCTCTCCCTATCTATAAATATGTATCCCTATGAGAAACATAAGGATTTACCAAAATGTACAATGTTTATGTACAGTTATTTTTGTCTTTAGCCTTACACCACCTAGACAAAGCACTGTTTTTCATAGTTAAAGTTATTTGGGTCAGCTTCTTTCTTCCATATGAGATTATGTCTTACTTTGTAATCCAGTTAGATTCTGTTTGTCACAGCCTATATTCCATCATAGGTTCCCACAAAATCCTGCCTTTTAAAAAAATTGCATACGGTAATTTGTAGTGTACAGTTCTGTGAGTTTTGACAAATGCACAGAGTCATGTATCTACCACCACAGAACTATACAGAATAATTCTATCACCCTAATATTTTCCCTGTGTCCTCTTTGTAGTCAGCCCATCCTCCAACTCAATTCCTGTCCCTATAGTTTTGCCTTTTCCAGAATGTCACATATATGGAATCAAATAATATGTAGCCTTTGAGTGTGGCTTTTCCCTCAGTAAAATGCATTTAAAATTAATCCATGTTGTTATGTGAACCAACAAGCATATTTTAAGGAAACTATACATCTATTTTAATAATGATGGTATAGATGATTCGTATTTGAACCACAACAATTATGTCTTTAGTTACTTTATTTACATAAATAAAGTAAAATAAAGTTACTTTATTTACATAAAGTAACTAAACAATGCGTAATAAATTGATAATGATGAAGCAAAACCATCAGTAGTTTACCAATAAAAGCAAAAATAGCAGCCTTTGAAAACCATGATCAACACAAAATACAATAATTATATAATTTTCTAGAATCTTCTTGAAAACTATAGGCATTACAAATACCTGTCTGAGACCATGTGAAGTAGGTGCTCTGCAGTGATGCCAAGCATTGAGTATGGGCCACCATCTTAGAATGTAGAATTAAGAATTCTTAGAAAACTCTAATATTAATCTTCATGAATACCTGTTTTTAATAATTCTTACTAACTCAAGTCAGTTACTAATAATTTGCTCTAAGTCTTAAGCAAAAATAAAATCTATTGCTTGTTACTCATCAGAGCTAATGAAAGAACTCATAGTTTTACATCAATTCATAGTCCATCAGGGGACCATTGTGGTCCATCACTGAACCTCAGACATACCTTAAGAATCACTGATTTAGAGGAGGAATGGTTGGATTGTATTTCCTGATTCCACATGTAGCCAATCACTTTATAACACTTTGAATTTCTGCATTAAAATATTAAACAGTACTGGACTCTGTTGGCCTACAGTAGACACAGAGTTCTTTTGGTTACTAGTGAATGTGTCTGTGACTACAAGGTCCCTCCTGGAGGCTACATCTGTGAACTTCAGTGAATTTGTGAAATAACTTTTTCTGGTAAGGACATTCAAAAGGCGAGGTGCTGACCAGGGTGCTCAATGTAGCAGCATCAGTTATAAATGAAAATTCTTTAGAGCCACCTATATTAATTTGTACCTCAACTCTTAGAAACCTCAATTGCTGCAGACCTCAATTAGTATTCTCATTGGGAATGCAAGACAATTATGTAGACTCTGTCTTTCAGCCACACATTGTCTCTAGAGTCTAAACAAAACCAGTTCAAGTATGATTTAAAAAGAAAGATATCTTGCCTATCTAAAATGCATTGCTAATGGACAGTTTTGCATCAGGTTTAGAATTTTCTATGGCATGAATTTTATAGCCTTGTAACTATGGCCAATTGTTTTAAAATAAAAAATAATAATAATCCATTCCACATACTCCTTAGGCTGTGTTCTAACAGTAATTTCATGGACTATATACTCATCTAGATGCAGACTATGAATTCAAATAGCAGTGTTAATAACAGACCTATGATTAAAATTAGAATTTGAAAACATAATGACTTTGTAATCTAGGATATCAAGTGGCATGGTGCTCAATGAATACAATTATGTTTTAGAGACACTGAAAATTGTGAGAAAACATGTTTTAAAAGAATATACAAGTATAGGTATTAATAAAACAACTGGAACTTTATTGTCTGATTTTTAGTGTTTGATGTTTATTTTTAGTCAAACGAATCAAACGAATAACTGTTTGAGTAATAATTTGTTTCTCAGTTGCAGATTAACTGAGCCCCTTATAGGCAAGTTAGTTATTAACCTTCCCAGAGATAATCATGGCTCCTAATCTGAACATATCTGCTCATGTGATTGGTCAGATTACTCAGACAAAAGAAAGAAATGAATCCATTTGTGGCCATCTGATGCAAGAGCCTAGAAACATCTTTTGAGACTTTTTTAAAAAGATAAATCATGTGATGTTTCTTTTAAGAACTTTGTTTTGATAAGGCCAGGCTAGTAAAATTTTCAAAGTGTTATTTCATTATTTTATTTTCCCATAGAAATAACTTAAAGGGTTAGTATTCAAGAGGCCTAGGAAACTAAGTAAAACTGCTTTGATTTAGTTGTATTTTCAGGTTAGTCCCATTAAAAAATTATCCTTGTATTTCAGGTAATTTCTCGGCACACACGAGAGCTTCTGGGTATTGAAGAGCCATCATTTAGTCGCAGCATCAGCCTTCCCTATAGAGACAATATTGGCTTATTTTTAGAGCAAAAAGCTCATACTGGGGTAAAATCCGATTCCTTGACCTTATCTGAATTTGTGCAAGTAGCAGGATTACAGGATTATGATTCACAAAAAACTGCCCCTGAAGACAATGAGGCAGTATATTACACTGAGCCATAGGGAAAAGCCATTTCACTTAGCTTGAAAAATCCAACTAAATTACTTGGGAGAAGAAGAGTGGCCTTTTAGGGTTTTTTTTCTCCTCTTCATTAAGTATCAGAGTTTGAACTGCTGGCTCTATTCCTAGTTCTGTTACTGACTCACAGCACCTTCCCTTTATTTGTGTTTCAATTTAGCCCCTCATTAAAACAAAGATAGCAATATTTCTTTCTGGGTAATTGTAAAAATTCCTGATAAATTCTAGTAGTGCATCTGGTAGTAGGAACATGTTGGGAAAATAGAATTAAAAGTAAAATTTCCTGCCAACCCAGATAATCCTCTCCACAAATGCAGAAAAAGAAACAATTTTATTATTGAATCAGTATTAAATCAGACTGTGATGCACATTGCAGGCAAGCCACTGAAGAGATTGCAAAGACAAAGAAATCTCACCCTTTTATATAGCCAGGCAGACACAGTGCATTATTTATATGCTGTCTATATCCAAAGGAAAAATAAAACTTCTCATATCTCTATGACAAATAGGAAGTTAATACTTGGACCCCGGCACTTAAGCTAATCTCCCACAGATTCAGGGAGACAAGGTACCATCCTCCTGGATGCTCACGTTTCAGAAATGACTCCAAGGTCCCTCCAAAAGACAGTCCTGGGATATAAACCCGGCAGAAGGTTTTTCTGCTTTTTAAAAGATTTACATACATCTCAAAAACAGAGAAGAAGGATTTAAATCACAAATTTTCTAAAGAAAATGTTTTGAGGAAAAGAAACAGGGAAGTTCTCTATCCCTTTTGGCATCAGAGAAAATTTTTTTTAAATAATTTTTTAGATTTGCATTTATCCTCACAAACAGCATGGCTTATAGAAGTACCATGAAGTACAGACTATCGAGTACGGTCTGGGGTTTGTTACAAGGCTCTTTTATTTAGTACCTTCCAGACATTTATAAAATGAAATTCAGGCCAGGGTCCACCCATGACTGAACTGCTCAAAAGAAATTACAAAATACGTCTCGTTGCTTGAATAACTCCAGTTCCTCTCTAGTTTTACAGATTTAAATTCTTTTTCTTCCCAGTCTGACTTCTTAATCCTAAAAACTACTATAGGGCATAATCCAGAAGAA